CCCATTTAATAGCTAAGATTTTATCCCAGGATGAATTTGGTTAGAGAGCCTATGCACATGAGCTTCCCTAGGGCCAGGCTACATGAAGAAAAGGAGTATCCAGACATCTAAATATAACTTGGGTAGCATCTTAGCAACCAGAGGCATTGGCAAACATTTGCTACCACCCCTCACATGAATCTCTGCAGGAGAGCTTTTTGGGAAGGGTGTCACATAGAAACTCAAAAACACAATGTACAGTTTATAAAGCTAGTGACAAATTCAGCTCCCCGATCTCATGGAGTTTACCTTCTAGCGAGTGGAGGGAGAAAGAGAGTTAAACAAATAAAGACGAGGTGCAGGGAGAGAGAAAGGAAAAGAAATAGTCTGGTCTGGGACAGAAACCTCAGGAGGAGACGGGGGACTTGGCGTGCAGGTCCTCTGAGCTGGGAAACTCAAAACTCTCCTCTCCTCCGGGGTCCTCCACTCCTGTTCCTGCCCTGGTCACCTAAGGCGAGGGTACAACCCCGGCTCAGCGGGTTTGCCAAGCTGCTTGATTGCTGTACAAATATGTGGCTTCCGTGTGTGCCAAGAGCTTGGAGGCACCGCGGTATAGCGCGTTTACAAGGCTGCTGTTTGTTTTTTTAATGAAACCACACTGATCTGTTTTTCTTTGTAAGTGAGTCAACAGCGATACAAATGATTCAGTTTTCTAGGCACAGGTTCATCATGGTCCTACTCACTCGAGGTAGGCAGGAGTTGTTACAGTCTCTCCACTTTACAGATGAGGAAACTGAGGCACGGGGGAGATGATGATTTTCCCAAGGTCACACAATCTAGGAGCGTGGACGCCCACTTGTTCTTGGCTTAGAGGAAACCCTGGGTCTAGCAGGGGTACAGTTAGAAAGAAGTATCTTTTCCCCACCACTGTCTAGAGACCTACTCTCTCACATCCCTGCCCTGTCGTTGGATGACAACCTGCATGGCTTTTCTCAACCACTGCAGGTTTAAGGCACAGTTTTAAGTATTAAAAACTCCTGCCAGGTGTGGTGGTGCACTCCTGTAAGCCCAGCACTCTGGGAGGCTGAAGCAGGAGGGTCAAAAGTTCAAACCCGGCTCAGGCAACTTACTGGGATCCTGCCTCAAAATAAAAGAATAAAAAGGGTGGAGGGTATAGTGTAGTGTGAAGGCTTTGAGTTCAATCCTCAGTTTTGCAAAAAGAAATCAAGTATTAAAAGTTCAGAGAGAGAGAGAGAGAGAAGAGAGTGTATTTTTGGGGTTCCTTTTAGTAAAGAGTTTTGGGAATGAATCTAGGCCAGCCACGGCATCACCACCTAGACCTGTGCCGCTAGCTTTCTGTGTCTCTGTGAATGTGACAGTAGAGACTGAGAATGTTTCTGTCGTCATAGAAAATCTATTGGACTGCACTGGTCTAGAGCTTCAGCAAGTTCTAAGTTAAATCTCCATTATTTTCACTCTGATTTCGGGTTTTGGTTTTTTGTTTTGTTTGTTTTTTAGATGCAGTCCTGCTGTGTAGTCCAGGCTAGCCTGGAACTCACGGCAATCCTCCTGCCTCAGCCTCCTGAGTCCTGGGATTAGACATGCGCCACCACCTGGCTTCATGGTCTGTTTTTATGAATGGATCTTTTGTATGGAAGGATGCTGTATGTAAATAAACTAAAGGACATTAGAGAGAAAGTCTATCCAGATGAAAACATTTTAGTCTCTCATCCATTTTCAAACTTTCCTTCCTTGAGCTGGCCCTGGTCTAGCCTCAGACTCCGGAAGTGGGGATGTGCGGTTTAGTGGGTTTCTTCACACTCCTGCTTCCCTTCCCTGCCCATTCCCTGACAGGTTAACTCTTCCAGGAGCAGAGAGGAGCACAGCAGGGACAGTGGGGCACAGAGAATTCAGTGGAATTGGGAGCTGTTGTCCTGTGGCACTGGTGTCCTCTGTTGGCGGAGGTCTGGGGTGCAGATTCTCCCCGGGGCACTTTCGTGGGTCCTTTGGGGACCATCTCCTTGCTGTTCCCGCAGTGTTGTACAGGAGCTGCTGACCCTTTGTCACCCCCCTGGCCAGCTCTTCCCCTTCACAAAATCTGCCACATGTTCACTTTATAGGAGTCACGTCCCGGTGAGGGGTCCTTTCCAAAGCCCCTGAGTGCAGGGTTTTTCCAGGGTGGCTGTGCACAGAGTTCTTGGGGAAATGGCACCTCCTGCTTCTCTACAGTCTAGAAATCCAGATGCACACACACCCCCAGCCTCCCTTCATTCTGTCCTCCTGGATGTTCCAGTCACTCGCAGGCCTTTCAGGGGAGAGTCAGGCACCAGTGTTTCCGCCCCAAGTGCCAGGGGTCCTTGCTTGGCTCTGGCCCAGCTCCTACTTTTCCTTTGCTATAAGGAAGTGGGGCACTGTACTTGGGGTTCCTCTATCCCCTTTTCAAGAATTCCACACCAACCAGGGTGTGGTAGCACATGCCAGTAATCCCTGTAGTCTGGGAGGCTGAGGCAGGAGGATCACAAGTTCAAACCCATCCTGGGCAATTTAATGACTTAGTGAGACGCTGTTTAAAAAAAAAAAAAAAGAGGGGGTGGGGCTCTGGGATTATTCTCCAGTTCCACCCCTCAAAAAAGGCAAGAGGTGCACAGCTAGGAACTTCCTCCCTCCCTCAGCCCCTGTGTGCCTACAGGTTGGAGGTGCATGCGGGCCTGGAGCGCACCCACCTTGTACGTCCTGAGTTGACAGTGTAGCCCCGCTTCGGAGCACGTGCACCTCCACAGTCTTGGGCCTCAGCTCTGGGGCTCAGCTCAGCTCTCAGAGAACACAACGGGCGCCGGAGCCCTTGTCGCGCACTCAACGCCATACAGCACAGTCTCCAAGCGGTCTGTCCGCGTATCCCGTGTGTCCAGCTCCGTCACATACAAAGGGGGGGTCACAGGCATTTTGGGTCCTTGAGATGGGCTGGAGGCCTCATCCAACCCTACAAGCCTCAGCTCCCAGAATCAGCCTCCGTGTCTTCGACGCCAGCCCCGCTGCAGTTTTCTTGCCCTGAGGCAATGCTTTGCCCCTCTCAGGTGGCTTCAGTGGCACTGTGACAAGCTGAGCGTGGTGGCACAGCCTGTCGTCCTGCCACCGTGGCAGAAAGATCGCAAGTTTGAATCCAGCCTGGACAATTTAGCGACTTAAGAGAGACCCTGTCTCCAAATAAAAATGTAAAAAGGATGGGAGATTAGATCAGCGCCAAAGCCCTGGGTTCCGCCCTCAGGCCACAAAAGGAAAAAAAAATGTTGTGGTAGTTGAGCGTACAACTTACCCCATCCCTATTAGGGTTCATTAAGCCCTTGTGGGTTCAAAAGACATAGGTGATGGGAGATTAGATCAGCGCCAAAGCCCTGGGTTCCGCCCTCAGGCCACAAAAGGAAAAAAAATGTTGTGGTAGTTGAGTGTACAACTTACCCCATCCCTATTAGGGTTCATTAAGCCCTCGTGGGTTCAAAAGACATAGCACCCCTCTTGTGGGGATGCTTAGAACAATGACAGTGTGCTTTGAAATCAAGAGACTTAGGGCAGGAAAGTTGATTGGCCACACTGGTCGGTTCTCTGGCTTATGCCGGTGCCAGGTGTTTTCCCCTCTGTGGGTTCGGCCATCCCCCCGGGAAGATGAGAAGGCGGAGGCTCCGGCTTCATAGATGTTACTACCCTCAGAGCCTAGATGTGCTGGAATCCACGGCTCTTGTTTTACCCCTCTCTTTGACTTGATGACAAGTCCTGATCAGGGCTGGTAAGAGTGGAGCTTAATGCAGCTAATACCACTCATGGAGAGAACATGTGATCCCAGAAGACTAAGAACATGCGACAGAAAACCTCCAAGCCCAGCAGAAAAGCGGGGACTAGGCTGGGGCAGTCTCAGAGGCCCCGCTTTTATCCTGACCCCAGCGCACAGGAAGGATGGCGCAGGCGCACGCACAGCGCGATCCTCCCAGCCGGCTTCTGCTGGTCCCTTCACTCCCCAGGGGAGGGAGTCGGGGCTTAAAGAGGCGAGACTGGAACCTGAAGCCCTGTGCCTAAGTGGTGACGCTGGATTTTTTAAAAAAAGTTGTTCTATCTGGTGCTTTAAACTTTTTAAAACTTTTATTAGTACAGTACATGTTTGCAGTGCATTCTACCTGGAGAGTTGGTGCATGTGCGTAACTCATCTTAATTCTTTTCCTTCTCCTCGCCCTCCATCGCTTGGTCGCCTTCCCTCTTGCAAAAGATCTGTCTCCGTTTCCTATAATCTTTTATTTTGCTCTTTTTATTCTAGCTCCCTCATACATGAGGCACCATACAATATTTAAGCTTGTGTGTCTGATTTCTTTCACGTAACATCATGGTCTCAAAGTGCATCCATTTTCCCACAAATGACTCGTTTATCCTTCTTTATGGCAGAGTAGTACTCCACTGTGTACGACTACCACATTTTCTTCATTCATCTGCTGATGGGCACTGAGGCTACTTCTGAGGTTTAGCTATTATGAGCTGTGTCGTTATAAACATGAGTGTGCATGTATTTCTGTAATATGATGTCTTTTATTGTTTGGGAAAGATCCCTAGGAGAGAAATAGCTAGGTTGAAAGAAATTTCTAGTTCAGTTTTTTTGAGGAATCTCCATACTGATTTCCATAGTGGTTGTACTAGTTTATTTTCCTTTCTCTCTGCAGCCTCACCAGTATTTGTTATTGTTTTATTTCACGACGACGATGACTGTTCTTTCTCTGGTCAGATGGAATCTTGCCATTGTTTTAATTCACATTTTTCTAGTAGCCAGAGTTGTCAAACATTTTTTTCCATATATTTATTGGCCATTTGTACTTTGAAGCTGAGGTCTGATCGCAGATCTGCCCCATGCATGAGACCCCGGGCTGGCCCTCCACTCCCTCACTGGTTGTATCCGGGCACCTGGATCGGACTGTCCTCTCCCTCTGGCTGCCACTGCCTGGGACACACTCACAGCCCTGCCTGTTGCTGTCTTTCCTCCCCAGTGTCCTGGGTTCCCTCCTGTTGCTCAGACTCCAGCTCGTCTGCCCGCAGCCCTCCACTGAACACAGAAAGGTGAGTCACAGCCACCCAGAGCCTTTCCTTCTCTACAGGAGGGGCAGAGGTCCCTCTGGTCGCCATCCTGAGCTTTGTTCCATTTGGAGGTAAGTCACTGCCAGTTCTGAAAGGAAGCTCCATGTCCGGAACATTCACCTGTCCTCCCATCCTCCCTTGGTCCCTGCAACTTGAATATGAAGCTGGTGCTCAGGGCCCATCTCTGGCCTGCAGGCAGGGCCACCAGTGGTAGTGGCTGAATCCCGGCTGGGGTCCTCTGGTGTCGCCACAGCTGTGGTCACAGCTACACTGCTCCCTTTGATCTTGACAGTGAAGGTGCCCCCGAAGGGTAGTAACTTTTCCTCCCACCAGTGCCTTTCTAGAATCGTCTCTCTGTCCTATCCTTACAGCCCATTCCATCCATACAGGCTGCCAAGCTGGCCCTGCCTGCAGGGATGGCTCAGTGCTCAGAGTACTTCACAGTAAGAAGCCCTTGCTCTCCTAGAGCCTAACACTGCCCTGCCACAGAGCAGGTACTTGGTGGATGTTCCCTTAGAATTGCCTGTGCGATAGGAGTCCGGAAGTCCCCAAAGAAGTCCCGTTTGTGTTAGCTGGGATCTCCTGGTGTCTCCCTGCAGAGAGCACCATTCCTCTCTGTGGGCTGCTGAGTTGGCAGGTGTTTTTATGAGAAAAGGTTTCACAGGGGACATTCAGGAAAGAAGGAGACTGAAGAGGGAGTGTGTGTACAGGCTTGGCTGTCATTGACCTTCCCCAAGCCCTTCTTGTCTGGTTGCTCTAATTTCTTTTACATCTATGGGTTATGTCCTGGTTCTGCCACTATTGTCCTGTATCCCCCACCGGAAAGTCAGCTCTGTAAAAGTGGGATCTTACTGATCTCATTCTCCGCCATGACCCCAGCTCCTGGATTGCAGCCTGACATATTTAGGTGCTCAGTAATATGCTTGTTAAATGACTGACTGAGCTGGCTTGAGAGGCTGAGGCCGGCTTGGGCTGCAGAGTTAGCTCCAGGCTGCAGAGTTAGCTCCAGGCTCCAGGCTACACACACAGTGAAGCCCTTTCTCACAAAACAAGAACGAAACAAAACAAAACAGAAAACCTGGGCCAGGGTCTAAACATCATTTTGCCAAATTTGTTTGGAATTTTAAACCTCCTTATTCTATGGCTTCATCCACATTCACGATTTCAATACTCAGAAAAGGCAACTGTCCATTTTTATTGTTCGATTATTTATTCATATTTGCAATTACAGGAAGTCTTTGACTTACTAACAGATTCCATTCCAAGAGAGCATTTGTAAGACAGATTTACTTGTAAGTCCAACAAAGTGAGTCTCATGTACCTTTGGCACAAACATACAAGGTAAAGCATACAAAAACCAAACACATACACACAAATACTATACATAAACTAGTTTTACTTTTACAGTTACCTTAAAATGGTAAGGTAGGCATGCGAGCTCCTTCTGAGAATTGTCCACATCTAGATGTTTGTAACCTGAAGTCTGCTCCTGTTTGTAAAGGTTCGCAACTCGAATGTCCCTAAAATGGAGGCATTGGAACTGTTAATAATTGACTTACTAGATACACGTTCTTTTTGTTGTTGCTCAAATCGACTATTAGAGCTAATATACATATACATATATATATATATTTTAAGTTTTCATCCCAACACAATTTATTGTGTGTATATATTCCCACACACAAATATGTTATAAATGTGTTTAGTTACCTTTTAGGAATTTGTAGGAAAAAATAGAGTTACATTTTTTAGAAGATTGGTTGGGGTTGTGATGATTGCAAAACATTTTAACACTGACGTTTTGGTTAACATTTTGACGCTGAGCGTCTGATTCTCAAGAACAGATTTTGTACTTTTTATTTTTATTGATATGATGTGCAGTGATGATCACATCTGAATTCTTTCTCGTCCCCTTCTCTTCCCCTCTCTCTCTCTGTCTCTCTCCGCCCCTTTCCCTTCTGCAAAAGATCTGTCTCCCTGTTTCCTATCTATCTTTTATTTCAGAGCTGAAAACATTTTCAAAATCGTCAGTTTACTTTGTTGTCATCTATTCTCTAAAGTTAACTCAAATGATGTATGTATAGCTGAAGGTCCCTAAATATCTTCACCTTTCTTAAAGTATTTGTCCTAAGAAATGGGCGAAGAAAACCGATCATGAGCTACTTTCAAAAGAATTAAAAAACTGAGCAAAAAGTGTCACATCTTGGTATACAGTACCTTGTCAAAATAGTATTAAGAACTTCGAGGTGGAAAAAAAGATTTTAAAAATTTTTGCAAAATCATTTATAGACTACTTGGAGAACATACATTTAAAAGCAGTTGTCAGTGTAATACATATATGCATTTTGACTGCCAAAGTTGTTGCTGTTAATCCAAGAGAGGAGAACAGTGCTTCCTTGGATGGTAGACTTCTTTCTGATGTTTTATTGGAACTCTGTGCAACCATGGCTGTCCTCTGGGTGTGTCCCCAAAAACCTGGCAGGAGAACTAGGGCTGGCGGGAGCAGCAGCCATTTATTCCTACAAGATGAGAAGTAAGGAAATCCTTATTAATATATTAAATGCGGCAGTACCTTTTCTATATAGATATCTCACAGATACTTTAGACTTTCTGGGCTACACCATCTGCCACAATCATCCAGTTCTGCTGTCGAAGCACACAGACAGCCAGAGACATATATAAATGAAGGCGCATGGCTGTGTTCCAACAAACCTTTACATACAAAAGTAGGTGGTGAAAGCTGGGCGTGGTGGTGCACACCTGTGATCCCAGCACTCAGGAGGCTGAGGCAGCAGTAGCGTTGCAAGTTCAGGGCTGGCCTGGGTTACACAGTGAGTTCAAGTTCAAGGCCAGCCTGTACTACAAAATGAAACCCTGTCTCAAAAAGCCAAAAAAATAAAAAATAAAAAACGAAGTGTGTGGTAAGGTAGAGTTGGCCCTGGGGTCACAGTTTGCCAACTCCTGTTCTAAAGTCCAGATAGAAAAGAGCTAACTGCAAATGTATGTATTTCAGAATTTGATGTTGGAAACTGCCACCTCTTGGGACTGTAAGAAAGACAAAGGGGTTGGTGGGAAATATGTAATTTTTCCTTAACGTAAGATTTGTGTTTGCTATCAGGTTTTCATTAGTTAGATATCTCATAAGTGAATTCAGGATGAGCCATCGTTTTGTGGTAAAATCTACTTCCTATCTTTAACAGAGAGCAGCAGAAAGAATTAAAAAGCCATTTCTGAGAAATTCTTAAGGGACAGCATTATTAATTTGTGCATGCTGTAGTTTAGTATGTGTCTAAAAACTGGCTACTAAAAGACATCTCTTTTCTTCTTCATTACAATGATATGTCCGAGTTTAGTAGCATATGGAAACATTTCCACAGTGTAAGTTGTTCTGAGGGAAAGACATAATTTGTAAATGCTGTCACGTAAACTATGCAGTTTGAAATGCTCCTCGGGTGACTCGATACATCTCTGTAAAACTGTCCCAAACAGTGCATGGAAAGAGTAGCTCTTTCCAGATGTTTCTATCCACAAGTCCTCCCTTATTTCTGCTGTATAAACAGTATCACAAACAATTGCTCAACCATCTGTTCTTAGAAATTAATTAATGATACTTGGAAATTTGTGGTTTTTTGAGACAGGGTCTCACTATATGTGCAGGCTGGCTTTGAATTCACTATGCAGCCCAAGCTGGCCTTGAACTCATGGCGATCTCCTGCCTCAGCCTCCCTATTTCTGGGATTACAGGTGTGCACCACCACATGTGGGTAAATGATTGTATTTTTAAAATTTGTAATACAGCACGAAAACAAACAAAACTTTTTTGTGGCTTTATTTCTGGATAAAATGGGGCCAAGAACAGAGAAAAAAAAAACTCAACCAAGATTTTAATAAAAACAATAAGCTATTATTAAGGGAAAATATGTGGATCATAGAAAGCTTTTTAAATAATGAAGCTGCTCTACTGTGTGCACTACAGACATTCATTAAGTAGTTTCACAGTATTAGTGTTATGGTCAAATTATAAACCAGTGTGCCTTTTAGCTCCTGCAGGTGGAAAGGCATATACTTCAACACAACTGTTCAACTTTTTAAAAAACTTTACTTTTAAAAAATTAAAAATGCATACGTTTACTATAGAAAACGATACCACCTAGAAGCAGGAAATAACTCACTCCTAAGGCCACCGCTCTTGAGCCTGTTATTTATAGAAACTTTCAAACAAAGAGTTCAGCAACATTACCCACTACCGAGTTAAGTAAGGGGAGAGTGAAATATTTGTTTTGCCAAATGATAAGCAAGTCACAGTGCAAACAGCAGGGAACCTCGTGATGGGGCGCGGTCACGTTAATGCGGTAGGCGTGCAACCAATGGGTGTCCATCGCCTCTGGACAACATCTCCCAATTGGTTATTGAACAGAAGGACAGAAAGAAGTTTTAGGTTACACAAAACCTTCCCCATTATTGTTGCTGTAGTCAAGAAGAAGACAAGAGAGGACAACAGTAGTCATAAGAATATCTTCTTTCTTTTCTTCTTTACTTATTGGCCATTTGTACTTCTTGAAAAGTGCCTATTAAGTTCATTTGCCTCTTCTAGGATTGGGTCACTTGTTTTGAAAGGGGTGAATTCTTTTTTCAGTTCTTTATATATTCTAAATATTATCCCTCTATAAAAACGGTAGCTAGCAGTTTTTCCCCATTTTTTTAGGTTTTTCTCTTCACATGGTTGATTGTTTTCTTTGCTATGCAGAAGCTTTTTAATTTGCTGTAGTTCTATCTGTTGATTTTTGATACTTTTTTCCTGTGCCTTTGGAGTCCAAATCAGGAAATCCTTGCCTATGACTGTGGCTTCAAGTGTCTCCCCTGTTATCCTTAGACAGTTTCAACGTTTCTGTTTTTATATCTAAGTCTTTGATCCATTTTGATTTGATTTTAATGCGGGGCATTTCTATCTTCTGCATATGGATAATTAATTTTTCCAACAC